TAGGGCCCTCGGTTTGACAGGGGTATCGGGTCTGCTTATGTGTAGCTGATGTTCCGACGTTTAGGATCCAGAGAGTATTAATGTTAAGCCGGGCCTGAGAACCAAACACTGCTTCGCGGTAGGGAAGACGAACTCAGGTCTTACACTAGAAGAAGCCTGAATGTCGAAAGCCCTACTAGTGTCCCTTCTGGTTATTAGCGGACATCTGTCGGTCGTTTGCGCGAAGCACTCTTTGGTGCAGGTTGCACTGCAATGAGTACTAGTGTCCCTTTCCGTGCTTACGCCGTAGACCTTGTGTCCCGATAGAACCTGAGCCGAAAAGCCCTACAGTTCTGCTTTCTGTGCTTAACCACAAGCTCCGAAAGTCTGAACCCTAACTCTATAGAATTCAACTGTAGAAGTATAGCGACTCTATACCTCTAAAGCCTGCATGAACCCCAACACCTGAACCTTAAGCTGTATAGTATAGGGGCCTTAATAATAAGAATAGAGTTTTTGGGGCCCATTATCCTATAGTTACAATAAGGAACCCCCAAAGTAGTATTGGTAATTATCTAGGCCCCTACATTAGTAGGATCCCAACAGTTGGACACCCCATAGCCTTAATCCATAAGCGTAATGTATAGGGAGTCCAAGTTCACTATCTGTCCTTATTCCGGTTTCCAACTTTTGGGATTTACCCTAAACCCTAAACCCTAAACCCTAAAATTTACTGTAGAGGTCCCGGAACTCCTGGGGAGAGGAGGTCATATTTGAAACCGCCTTTCTCGCGCGCCGCACATGGCTTCCCTCCTTTCGCCGCGAGCTGCCGCAGGCAGCACGAGGGCCTCGGTCTCAGAGAGGTCAGTACGAGGGTTCCTTTAGAAGAGTTCCAAAGGGTCCACGTACTTGGATAATTATATGGGTAATTTTAGAGTTTGGCCGTAAAGTAGTCCCTGTATAGGTATATTCAGGCCTAAGTCTATACCAAAGGAGCACATGAACCCAAAAGTTCTGAAGCGCAAACTTCAACACCCTTTAAGGATTAAGGTCTACAGTGTACCAGCTCCATGAAACTCGTACATCCTAAGTGGTCTTCCTCAACCTCACATGTCTTGCAGCGGTCATTTGTTTAGTTCCTTTTTTGGTCTAGCCAGTTCCGCAAGGTAACCCCAGGTCAAGGGCTTCGGGTTTAGGGTTTATAGGGTTACGGCTCCGGGGCTTTAGGGTTTAGGTCTTAGGGTTTAGGGTCAAGGGCTGTAGGGTTTTTGGGGGGCTATGCCATTTCCGTGTCTGTTGAAGCCCGAAGCGTCTTGCATGTTTCCAGTTGGACCCGCGGCCTAGGTTTTCTCCACATTAAAACTGTTTTGGTGGCCTTGTGCCGATGACGAGATCCTAAACCCCAAACACTAGGCCCCAAGCAAAGAGCTCTAAACCGCAAGCCCTAGCTTGAAAGTTGCTTGTCAACCAAAAGAGGGCCTAGGATTGAGCGTACAGGAGAGCACGAGCATGGACAACAAGGCACTGTGATCCCTAGGTTTCGGTCTTGTTCAAAATTGAAAGGGGTGTCCTGTTGAGGGTCGGGGTGTGGAGTTTAGGTGTCGGTCTTGTTCTAAACTCAACAGGGTTTTGCGGCTCAAGGTTAGGATTATAATTTAGGGTTCGGCTCTTGTTCTAAAGCATGTGGCTTTCTGAAGCTGATTCACAACAGGGCTGCCGTAAAGCAGGTGTAGAGGATCTGCAAACACTTTCGCGCGAGTGGAGGGTTTAGCAAAACCCTAAGGGTCCACGTGCCCAAATAGTATATGCATTGGCCCCAAAGTACCAATTTATGGGCTATGGTAAGGCCAAAGACTCTACTGTTTGGATTACATGGCCCCTTAGGGTAAGGTTACGGTGGAGTTGCCATACGTAAGCCGCAAGCACCAGACGTAAACAGCAACCGGATCCCTCTACGTATGTCTTAAACCCTTAAACCCCAACATAGCGGTCGGAGTCATTGGCAAGAATATTTCTTAGGGTTTAGGGTTCAGGGTCTCTCCTCATCAATTCTACTTATACTTGTACGAGAATTTGCCACCACACCCTGTAGATCCCCTCCCCCCGCGCTAAATCCCCAGCCTTGATCTGCTAAACTCACCATAATTCCCTCAGCCCTGTGCGGAGCTACTCAATCCTACTTTTGCAGGGTACCTGGTTGTGGTAGCTTAGGTTCGACCCTCACCCCTAACCCTAAGCCCCCAAACCCTTAACCCCTTAAAACCCCTAAACCTTAGCCCGTAACCTAAACCCCTAAACTGCAGACCCTAAGACCCTAAACCCTATAAGCCCTAAACCCCTAAAAACCCCTAAACCCCTAAAAACCCCGAAACCCCTAAAAACCCCTAAAAACCCCTAAAAACCCCTAAACCCCTAAACCCCCGAACCGTAAACCCTAAGCCCCTCAACCCTGGGCCCGAAGCCCAGCACTCAGGTCAGCGGACAGACTGCATGTTTGAAGCCGGACGGCCGGAAGAAAGGTGCCTTGCATGCTCTGCTAGGAGGTTCAGAAGTACCAGTTAGGGTTTAGGGTTTAGGGTTTAGGGTTTAGGGTTTAGGGTTTTTGTTTCTGATTCCCAGTATGTGTTGCATAATTAATTCAATCCAGTGTATATACACCTTTTTCCCAGTGGGTTACTGAACAGCCTCGCATGGCTCCTGCTGCCCTCGTGGAGGTCTCCTAGAAGTTTGGGAGGGTTTCATTCTGTTTGAGTTGTTTTTGGGTTTAGGGCTGCGGAGGTTGATTATGGTTAATTGAAGGAGTTTGATAGGCTGATGTTCAGCGTTAACGAAGTTTGAAGCAGTATGTTTCAGTTTTGCAGAGCGTTGACTGTGGTCTTTAGTCCAGGGTTAGGGTCCAGAGTTTACGGTGTTCTCCAAGGTTTAGGGTACCCCTTATGACCCGAACCCTGCACGCTCCCAGACCCTGCACCGCTTAGAGCCTTTTAAGCACTCCTGCAGCAACCTTCATCCAAAACCCTCAAAACCCTAGGCCCTATAAACCCTAAACCCTAAGAAGGGGGGCCCGATTATAGATCACTTATTTAAGGGAACCCGGTGATAGAACCCTAGATTTCCCTTTCAGGGTAGTATATGGTTCTATAGTAGAGTTCCCTTTCAAGGATGCTTTCGGGTTCTATGAAAAGCTTCCCCTTTACATGGGGTTAGAAAGGTCAGCAGGGGTTTTGGGGGTTCGGAGTTGGTAAAGCCCGGAGAACATTGAAAGCGAAATCCTAGAAGCAGGAAGGATCGGATCGGCGGTTAGTAGAGTTTTAGTGTAGGAAAGGCTAGAACGGTTTAGGGTTCAGTGTTTAGGATATTCTTACTTCCAACTTCAGACCTGTTCGGTGTAGGTTCGGGACTTGACAGCGGAGTGATCCGGGGACTTCTTCAAACCCCTTGACCAGTACTCCGGGTTTCTTCTGATGGCCGTAGGAATATTCCTGAATGATCGGATAGTGTGACCCCACCACTACCCTCGTTTTATGTAGATGTGTAGGCAGGAGCTGAAAAGTTGAGCAGATCGAGTAGCTCTTCGGTCGGTAGGGCTTCAGGGTTTAAGTCGTTTCAGGGTTTCCGTTTGTATTATAGGTTTGTGATGCGAGTAGTTCAAGGCCGGCTGCCATTCAGCGTATTCATTTAGGAACAGGAAGATGTTGACCATTACTCAGCTCTTGCCTGCTAAACAACTCTAGCTGCTGTCTGAAGCCATGGTAATGATGTGCCCTTCTAATTCTACGACAGTATGCGCGACAATCCTATTCCAATGTTTACGGCTCGCACAATACCGTTTTTGAAGAAGCAGCTGCAGTTGTAGAAGGGTGGCGTCATGAGTGCAGACCCGTGAGGATTGACTGTTAACCTGTCTTCGTAGGCAACTAAGCAGACACTTTGCCTGCAGCATCGTGCCGTCTCCTCACCATAGGGGCCGCACTATAGGGGCTGCAATGAATAATTAGCAAAGGATTTTGAGGGGGCATAAAGTGCCAACAAGGCACGCTATACTACCCTACCCCTCCAGGTACCTACTATAGAGGGTACTAGAGCCCCTAGGGCCTTATATAGTAGGTATCTGGAGGGCTAGGGCTAGCCTCTGTCCGCTAGTCACAAGCCCGCAGGCACAGACAGGCACCATCGCAGCCTTTTTGGCTGACACTGTCCCTGTGGTAGCAGGGCGCACCCCTCTCGAAAAATTGCGTGGAACCTCTGCGGCCTGCCCTGCCCTCAATTCAATGACCAGACCTGGCTGGCCCCTAACCAGCCTATTTTTGGTGTTTTTTTATTATGATTTCATGGTATAGGTCCTGGAAGGAGTCTTGGTTCCGAAAGCCTTGAAACTTGAAATAGTATCGAGGTCGGTTTCTGTTGCAAACTCATAGCATCGACCTTTGGGCTCAGAGACCCCCAACTATCCTCTTCTATACTCTTTTGTACCCGAAATACCTTCTAAAAATGACCATAAGGGCTCTTCATCAAAAAATTAGTAGTTATCAGGGACGGGTAGGGGTTTTGTGCTTTGGAGGTTGTGGACCCAAGGCGCTACCTTAGCCTCACGTTGACATGTAGTGCCTTTTGCGAGCCATTTCCTAACATAGGGGCCGCAATAATTTGACTTGGGTTTATAGGGGTATATCATGCCATATCATAGAATGATCATAGGAGCCCTGGCGACCACAATCAGTTTATTTAGTCTCAGCACCACCTCCATGTGACAGGTTATCCAAGCAAGGTGCTGCAGATCGGGGGTTTGGTATGGTCAATATAAAGTCTCCACCCAGCCTAAAACCCTAAACTCTAAACCCCAAAATACGTTTTAACGTAGATGCATGCAATTTCGTATTTAGACATCATGCCCGAGAGTTAAGATAATTTCATAAATTACTTCCGATTGCGGTTTCGCGTCGACGGGGGAACCCTAAACCCTACAAGGCCTCTGCCCGAATCTTAACCCGCAAAGCCCTACCTTGCCTGACGGTTTTCAGGTCTTGTCATAGGGAAGATGCAGGACTGTGTGACTGATTGGCCGCAACCCCAGCTCGAAACAGGCTTAGGGTTTACGGTTTAGGGGCCCCGAAGTTTTAATGGTGGCTGTAGTGTGGGGTAGTTCGCGGCTCCGGGCTTGGGTTGAGGCTGGGTGGTGCATCAGTTAGCCCCATATCATGCATGAGATCCCTGACTCGGGATTTTCCAGCATTGTGTGTTATTTGTTTTGTTGGGGTGCCGGGCCATAAATTTCTTGTGATAGGGATCTCGAACACATGTGCTTTGCGTGTTTTCTACAGAGGGTCGAGGGTGCGGTCGATCCTCGTCGATACATACGCCTAGTTCTCCAATATCCAACCTTTAAACTTGTTGGGTTTTTATGATTTGGTAGCAATCTGAAAGTTTAGCCTTTCATTTCCCTGGATGATTGGTGATGAAGTAAGTACAGGCCCCTTACTGCCTTGAAGACACAAGCGCACTCGAGAGTCACATCCTTTCGAGCGGCCCATGGTACGGAAACCGGGGTCTGGCATGTTATGTTCGGTTGGTAGAGGAGGAGAGGATTTCAGACCATTGGAGTTCTCCAAGCAAGGGTTTAGGTTTACAGTGTGCGAGGTAGGGTTTAGGGCTTATAGGTTTTAGGGTTCAAGGTTGGGGTTTGGGGTCTTAAATCTTAAAGCTAAAATCCCAAACAGTAATGCTGCTGTTCAGGCAGAGCCCTGTGATTCCGCCCACTATCCGCCGTGGTGGCCCCGGAGTATGGGGGCAGCTGCAGATTGGTCGATGATGCCGTTTAATAGCGAGTCAGTATGAATACGCATTGTAGTCCCGCTGTCGCTTTACTGCAACCCACCCCACAGCCCTATTCTGATCACTGCCCTAAACCCTAAACCCTGGGCCCTGAAAATCCCTTGTATGGTTAGGCTCCTTCTGGCAAGAAAGGAATATAGGGGCCTTAATAATTAGAATAGGGTTCGGGGGTATACTATACTATAGCTATAATAATCAAGAACTCCCGAAACCCTATTCCAAGTATTAAGGCCCCTACATTAAGCATGAGCCCCGAGACCCGGATCTATTATTTCTAAACCCATTGAAGCCTGAAGCCCTTGAACACATGCTCAGGTCTTGCATGTTTGGCATAGTTTTTGTATGGGCTTATTCGGGCTTAGGGTATAGATCGCTCTTCTGGTCCTCTGCAATGGATGTAGCCGTTTCAGAGCCTGCAGGGTTACGTGCTTGGGCACTTCCAGGCTTCCTTCTGCATGGCCTTTTTAGGGTTTTTGGGACTTCGAGTGTAGGGCTGCATAGGTATATCGAAGACCATGTACATGCGGTCGCTTGAACATGGTTTCCTTGGGAGCTGTTACTACTTCGATGTGCTCAACCCCGAACCCTAACCCCCAAACCCCAAAGCCCCAAAGCCCCAAAACGTTAAGCCCTCATACCCTAGATCCGAAGCCCGAAACCAATAAAACCCTAAACCCTAAACCCTAAACCCACCGTACCTTCCAGCAAAAGGCCCCTGGCGCGTCTTCGAAGAGGACCTTGAGGAACCGCGCCAGATGAAAGTGGTAGGCAACATGGAAGGATGATAGGGGGCCTTAAGAATTAGACTAATAAAGGAGGGTTTAGGGTTTAGGGTATCGAAAGACGATAGGCGGCCTTAAGAATTAGACTAATAAAGGGGCCCAAATAATTACCTATACTATACTATTTTGGGGGGTTCCTTATTATAATTATCCTATATCTTCTAATTATTAAGGCCCCTACATTGGTGTTGGGTTGAACACAGTGGGCGTCCATGGGCTGGGTTCTTCGACTGCCTTTCCTTTCTCTGGCATAGCATAGGCCCAGGGGATTATGGACACTACACGCCAATTCACGGCCTCGGGGCTTGTGGCCCTAGGATTCCAGGAAAGCACTGAAATGAAGGCCCTTGTTTGTTGAGGTCTGGGGCGTGCGGTTTAGGTCGTAGGTATGGGGTTTAGAGGAGTTCATGGTTGAGGGCTGGAGGTCCTGGACAAGGGTGTAGCCTTCCTCAGACCAAGATTATCCCAGCAGCAGCGCTGTCGGGTTTGAGGTGTTTGGAGTGTTTGGGGTTTGGGTCGGAGTACCTTGAGTTGGGTGTTGCTGATGCTTTTTTCACAGCCATGTGGGCCATGTATGTGCTCAGGTAGCATGAATAGGCTTGGCATGTCCTGACTCGGCTTTCGTAGTACTTTCTTGTGCAACAGAAGCACTGAGTCTTGTAATTCGCGAGTCCGAACCTACCAGATATTGCGAGGAGAAGGTGACCAGCAATGCAAGTCAAGTTGGCCAGGCGTTTGCAGGGTGCACTTGGGTTTGACCCTAAGTTCTTTGGTGTGTAACATCAAGCCAGAGACCTGCACATCCAGTGGTTTAGATGCTCAAGGTAAGAGAGTTCAGTGCGCAGAGGAAGTTCAATAAGATGACGATCTCTGACATAAGCCGTGTTGCCCGGTTTGTTACATGATGCTGTCGTTTGGTAAACAGACTTGGGGCGGAAGGCTTAGTGTGAGGCCCAAGGATTGAGCTGGATTGCTGTTTGGGTTTTTAGGGTTTAGGTAGGCTTTAGGAGTCAGAGTTTGGAGATGCTCGCTCTGACAAGCGCTACGGCTTCTAGTATCTTTCATAGATGTCTTACTGCTTTTGCCAGGGGCTCCTCGTCAATGTTCTACTCGAACCGGAACCGGCATGACCTGGGGAAAACAACCCTAAACCCTAAACCCTAAACCCTAAACACCATAACTCTTATGTCGCTACGGTAAGATCTCGGCTCCCCAGTGCTTGCATGTAGGATTCTTCCACCCGGGCTGCACGGATTCCTTGCAAAGTCGACTATGGTTTGCACCAGAGATTCATGCCGTAAGCCCGAGCTTGCCTGTCTTAGAAGTGTAGGACGCACCTAAACTACCGCATCCTACTTTTTGTCGTTTAAGCTGTACCCTAACCCTCCAGGTACCTACTATATAAGGCCCTAGGAGCTCTAGTACCCTCTATAGTAAAACCCTAAACCCTAAACCCTAAAGGTACCCGGAGGGGTAGGGGTAAGCTATTTGGGGCTCAGGGTTTGGGGCTCCTGGAGTTGATTTCGGCAAGGCCTTCGTCTAATACCGAAGCGCACATCAGAGCTGGTCTTGGTCTAGAGATCCCAAGCCTAAATCCTAGTCTCTAAATCTTAATCCCTTAACCCCTTAACCCCTTAACCCCTGAACCCTAAACCCCGAACCCCTAAACCCTAAACCTTGAACCTTGAACTCTGAAGCCCTAAACCCTAAACCTTGAACCTTGAACTCTGAAGCCCTAAACCCCTAAACTCCAGAACCGTCGGGCTTTAAGGACTCATGCTTGTAGGCCGTTCCAGGGCTCGGAGTTGAAGGCTGCTGGGCCCAGAGGCCATAGGTTTAGGGTTTAGGGTTTAGGGTGTAGGGCTCTTTGGACTATGCAGCAGTAGGGTTACAGTTTAGGGTTTTGGGTTTAGGGTGTAGGGTACACCCAAATCACGCATGATCATCCAACAGTGAAGCGGAAATACTGGCTCAACAGGTCAGACTAGCTCAGCGGGGGGCACCGAGCAACCAGACAAGTGAAGACGCCGACCGGTGCCGACCACGGCCATTTGCTGCCTCCTTCAGAGCAGCTGGGCCCGAAGAGTGGACGAGGAGCAAACCGACAGCACAGGCAGCCGGGAACCCAAGGTCGTCTCAACCTACGCCTTCAACTCCTCAAGCTCCACAGACAGCGAGGGCAGGATGCAAGCAGGGGGTCCGTTCGGGCCTCTGCCCTCACAGCCTGGGGAACACCCCAGAAATTTCGTCATCGGCCTCCACAACCCGAAACCGTCACCCGCAGATCTTCAACGCTACACTCTTGAACTCGGCACCTAATATGTGGGCCTTCGAAGGTTGCCAATTACCAATCGTTTTCCCTAGGGTTCCTGATGTTATATACCCCATGGCTCGAATCATCTAATGATTTCCCAAACCCTCCAGGTACCCACTATGCAGGACCCTAGGGGCTCTAGCACCTTCTATGGTAGGCACTTGGAGGGTTAGGGTTTAGGCCATCATCTTGTATTCCAGGCGTTGAGGCAGCTAAAATGGTTCCTGGCATGTGGGTAGTTTTCTAAATTAGGAACCCTTTTCGGGTCCTTTTTTATTAGGGTGCCGTACTATATTGGGGACCTACAAAGGGACCCTAACTCAAAACAAATCCCATGTGCTGGCAGGTGGATTCCAAAGTGAGAGAGCAGATCGCTGCAGTTCAGGCGCCTGGCAGAGCGTCTTGAAGACTTAAGGGTGCTTATTAAGGGTTTAGGGTTTAGGGTTATTTGTCGACTTTTCCCTAAGAGTCCAAAAGGACCCAATAATCAGGTACTTTGGTTGCGGATAGTAGTTATCTAGGTTAATATTTGGGAGAGTATATGATGATTAGGTACTTGGACCCTTAGGGTTTTGAGATACTGAACATTGGCAATCGAAGCCCAGAAAATCATTCTTGTTTTTTGGTTTCCTTCCTACCACGGACCCGAGCTTCCGAAGCTTAACGCCCAGAATGAGTCAACAGTGTGAGCATTGTAGCTGGGTACTTACTCCGAGTTTGTTACGAACCCTGCCATATGTAAACCCGACGCCCTCAGCCCTAAATCTTAAACCATCCTACCATATGTGGCGTAGTATATGTAGCGCAGTCTGGGCTTCGTCGTTTACCGGACTGCGGCTTGTCCCAGCATCGATGCGCTGAGATGCTGGACCGTGCACACGAAACATAAGACGTTTGCCTAAAATTTCGGACTTCAGACTACTGCCTGAAATTTAGCGTTTAGGGTTTAGATAGTAGTCTAGGATGCCAGCAACTTGCAGCAGGCCTTCACATGAGCAACAGCATCTCCCCACAAGCGCTTTCAGCCCGAGACAGAAAACCCAGCATCCAGAAGTCTACACAGTAAAACCCGTATATGCCGAGACCATATAAACCTTCGTAAACCTTATAAGCCGCGAACCCCATTAAACCCAGACCCCAAACACTGAACAGTACGCAATTGTTAAATTAAGCCGGAAACCTGCAATGCACGTAGACCTAGAAGCCCTAAGAACCTTTATGAATCCTGGAAACTTCAGAATCTTCCCCAGATTTCATCCGGTACCGGCTATGCAGTGTATCCTATACAAACCTAGACACACCCATGGCATCCGCAAAGGCTCCATGTACTTGTCTAGTCATTCGGAGGCCTCAAAAGCCCAAAGGGTCCTATGCACTGTTATGGGGATGCTTCCCTAAATCATAATTGTAACTCTGAGTCTAGGACATTTTCAGGTGGGTGGTTACCGTTATAGGAGCCTTATAGAAGGTCTATATACCTTGTAGAAGCATCATAGAAGCCCTATACACCCTAAACTCCCCGACTGTAGTTTCCTTTAATTTAAAGAAGCCCCAAAACCCTGACCCTAAACCCTAAACCCTAAACCCTGATCCCTAAATGGAGTCTGGGGGCCACTGGGAACCCTAAACCCTAAACCCTAAACCCTAAACCCTAAACCCTAAACCCTAAACCTTCACCCCACCTTTGGAGGCCTCCTGGTCATCTAGTCTATGCCCTGGCCTAAGCCCTACCCGAAACCCCTCCAAGTACCTACCTTTTCAGGGCCCTTTATAGGGCTTAGGGTTGAGGGCCCTAGGGTTTAGGGTTTAGGGTTGAGGGCCCTAGGGTTTAGGGCCCTAGGGCCCTAGGGTTTAGGGTGGGGCTCTAGTAGCCTCTATAGTACGTACCTGGAGGGCTAAGGCTAGTACGTATAGGAACCAACTTCAGCCCAAGTGATTACTTTTGCATACCTGGGACCCACAAGGCCCTGTACCCATCCGACAAAGAATATAAGACCCTTTGCCTTGAAGGAACCCTTAAAAGCAACCCACAGTATACCCGAACCTTAAACCCCGAACCCAAGCCTTAAACCCGAAATCCGAAACCCAAACCCAAACCTTAAACTCGAAGCTCTTAACCGAGAGCTCTCCAGCACACCCTCTCGACTCCCGAACCGCCCTAAGTCAGAAATTTACAACAAATACATCATGTAAATCATATTAAGGATCGCCCTAGAACTTGGGGTATATAACCCTAAACCCTAAACCCTAAACCCTAAACCCTAAACCCTAAACCCTAAACCCTAAACCCTATATATATATATATATATGCCTTTAAATCCGAAGTTTTCGAGTCTCTGTGCAGGCGAAGGGGGCGCGGGTTGCCTTCCTGTCGCTGTCGGAGTCCGAACGTCAGACGTACTACCAGGCTCCGGTCTTCAGTGAACTTACGGTTTGGGGATTTTTTTAGGGTTTAGGGTTTAGGGTTTAGGGATTTCCTCTGAGGCTTCTACCCAGAGGCCCCATTGTAGTTCCTTTTTTGTGGCTTAAATTTAGGATCCCATTAGGTAATCACAAAAAGGAGCTACTATGGGGCCTATGGGTATACCCTAAACCCTAAACCCTGAGGGTTAGTTAGTCTAAGGGTTCTGGAGGGTTTAACTTAGAAGGGTTTGGGGGTGTCAGCCCTTGGGTTCCGTTCCGAACAAGTTCTGTAGAAGCGTTACCATAAGCATTATCGTTGTAACTTAGTTCTCCAATACCCAACCTTTATAAACTTGTTGGGTTCTTATTTTGATTGAGTAGCAATCTGAAAGTTCAACCTTTTATTCCCCTCGCTTCTTTGGGAAGTAAGAATAAAGGGTTTAGGGTTTCAGGGCCCCAAAAGGTGGGATGCAGGTCGGCGGGATGTGAGAATCAGGACTCCTCAGCTGGGATTATGTCCCCCGCTGGTTGGAGCACTTTGGGTTCACCATCCGGAGTGAGGTGTTTTCAGGGCTTCGGGTTTAGGGCTTCGGGTTTAGGGTTTTTAGGGCTTCGGGTTTAGGGTTTAGGGCTTCGGGTTTAGGGTTCAGGGACTTTGGGTGTTGGAAGTCGGTCATACTTCGCACACCCTTGTTCGAAGTATAGCCAATCTCCAGCGCAGGATTGTGTCGCAATGGCTTTCTAAGGACTTGTCGACCAACCCTGTAGATTAAGCCCCCTTAACCGTCGAGCTTAAACCTCAGGGCTAAACGCCGCAAACCCGAAACCCGAAACTCGAAACCATAAACCACACATTTCCTTGTGTTCGGTTTTATAATCTTAAACGGTTTTTGGTGGTACCTCAAGAACAAACCCTAAACCCTAAGCCCTAAAAAAAACCCTAAACCCCGAAACTTTCATGGCCTGAACAGGTGGCTCTTCATGAGCTGTCAGCCTTCGTCTTCTGGCGGCGTTCGCAGGACGGACAATTGGACCTCCTACCTCTACCTATATAGGAGTTTCCAAAAATTAGGGTACCGTATTTTGGGGTCTTTATAATAAGGGTTCTACTATTTAGGGTACTATCTTAGGGTCCCCTATTTTCGGAAACCCCCATATTATATCTACCCCTCCATAATGCCATGGAAATCTCTACATGTGGATGGGACGGGTGGATGGGCGTAGACTATTTCTGATGTTCTTCATCTCAGGCTGTAGGGCATCTGCTGTAAGAGTTCGGCAAAGCAGGCAGGGTTTAGAAATAAGGGTTTCGGCTTCAGGATTATCATGAGCGGCCCTGTATCAGGCTTCGCCAAGGCCCCTTTATCATAACCCATGTAGGTACTAAGCTAGGTGCCTGAGTAGTACCCTTTTGCCCTTTTTCTTTTGGGGTCTCCTCAGAAACCGAATCTTCGGGAAAAGGGTACCCTTATGAAGTAGGGGTCACGCAGGAACCCAGGGCTGTATTTAAGACTACCGCCTATAAAAGGAAGCGACCTCACTGTGCGTTCCTTTGCCACTTGAGATCACAAGCAACCTGACCCCCAGCCTGATAACAAAGTGCAGCTCAGCTTTTTCGACCTTTTGTGGCGCGCTCCTCTGGGCGAATAGAAGAGTTTTCTTGTGGAGATTCTTCTATACTTATACTTTGCGGAAGGAAGCCTAAGCAGGAATCGGTCCTTTGACGAAACTGTCGGTCCTAGCTCATGCATGGCCGAATACTTCTAGCGATTCTGGTGGTTCTTAGCGTCTGCAGCCGGGACTTGTTAAAATCTTTTCAGAAAGACCTCGAACCCTGAACCAAGCCTCAAACACAAAAATCCTATTGAAGCCGAAGCCCGAAGCAGCAAAGCCAAAAGTTAAACCCCCAACTAAACCCTCAACCCTGTTATGTGCCTCACTCGTCCGCACTCCCGACACGTGCGCCAGTTGGCCCGTCAGAAGTCCGGTGAGATCCTCCCAACGGACATGGAGGCCCTTAACGGGTTCCTTTAAGGGTTTCAGGGTTTATAGGGTTCCCTTATGAAGACTTCTCAAAACTCAGGGTTTCTTGAGTTAGGGCTCTTTATAATGATGTGCAGTACTACTCAGGGCCTCTATATATATCTATATATATATATATAGTAGGTGCGCATAAAGCCCGGCCAGAGAGTCACCGAGAGATCTTCAAGTCGATCTCTGGGCGCATGACATTTTATAGGGCTCAGGGGAGGTTCAGGGCAGTTTAGGCTTTAACGCTTGTTAATTTTGAACTTCAAGGGGCTTGGGTTTGAGCTGGTTTTTTAGACTTTGCTTAAGGTTCAGGCAATTTGGGTCGGCTGGCGAGGTGAGACAGGGGCACAACTATTCCTTCGAATACGTACTTCCTGTTGACTAACCTTAATAATATAGCAATATGACAGTTTGTTGAAATTAGAGCTACCTTGGCTCAAGGGCCGTTATAGGAACGGTGCTACTGGTCCATACCCATAGGCCCCAGAGTAGTTCCTTTTTGTGGCTTTTATTTAGGATCCTAGTAGGCAGTCCCAAAAAGGAACTACTATGGGGCCTATGGGTAACCCGTACACTGACGGAGAGACTTCAGGCTGCAGACACATGTCACATCTCACGTGTCATGCTTGTGTCTCTGTGGCCTCAAACCGTACAGCTTGTAGCTCCGAAATAGGTGGTTTCTGATTTGGGTTTTGAGGGTGTGAGAGCTTCGGTGTTTGGGCCCAGCCCTTGCTTAAAATCAAGACATTATGTTCATCAGACCTAGTGAATGTACAGGTCCGGCCTCACCTTCCAACGCGCACCCAAAACACTGTCCTCTACGGCTCCGGGAACACGCGTGTCTTCATGGGAGGAGTCGGCTTAGGGTTTAGGGTTTACCCATAGGCCCCATAGTAGGTTTTTTTTGTGGCTTATAGTTAGGATCCTCTTAGGTCATCCCAAAAAGGAACTACTATGGGGCCTATGGGTGGGGTTTAGGGTGTACCTTGACCCCAAAGAACCTACCTTTTTAGGGACGTATATAAAGAAACTCAGGGGCCCAAAAAAGGTATAAAGGTTATTTGGGTCCACGTAGGGTGGTAGTTACCGTTATAGGAGCCTTATAGAAGGTCTATATACTTTATGGAAGCCTTATAGAAGCCCTATATACCCTAAACTACCCACCTCTAGTTTCCTTTACTTTGGGGTTCACCGCCAGGCAGGTTGGGATCTGCTTGACCTGAACGACAAGGGCGAGTGGCTGCCACAGGACCTGGACTGAGGTTCTGGCTTTGATGCTTGAGAGTGTACTCTAGGGGCCTCTATAGTTAGAATAGGGTTTTTTTGGGGGGTATACGATACTAGATAGCTATAGTAAGGAAGCCCCGAAATAGTATTGGTGGTGGTTATTTAGGCGCCTGGCTAAACCCTCAACCTGACGCCTTAAATGTGTGGTTTCGCTTGGTGCGGTCATGATTCTGTACTGAGTAGCTCAACAACTACAGCACCCACTACAACAAACCCCAACACTACCCCGCCGCAACAATCACTATTAATCACTACTGTCACCAGAACGGAAGAAACAAGGGTAGGCGCCCCGGCCCAAACCCACGGTGTTCGAATCTTTCAGCACTGAAAACCCTGGGTTCCGACTTCTCGACCGCAGGACCCCATCGCATTCCTCCGTGCCGATGCACAATGGGCCAGGGTCCCAAGAAAAGCTCCGTTTCGAAGTATATGAAAGTAGCACCCACGGAAGTGTTTAATCTAAGTGTACATGCGAAGGGTGAAAGGAAACAGTTCAGAAATATCGCTGACTTTCGGTTGAGTTGTTCCTCTCTTTCAGTCCCATTTCACTTGCTCCTTGCTTCACCTTGAGACCCAACCTTTCGGTGTTTAGATCCCATCTCAAGCCGACAGTGCATGAGCACCGACAACCCCTGAGCAATTTCAGCCCCTGAAGGTGGTCAGTGTGTCCAATATGTGTCAAGGTCCTTTGATTGGCTTCAGCTCGGTGTAGCAAGAGTCTTTGAAATTGGAGTTGTCGAGTTGTGCGCCCATCGGTTACCCCTAAACCCTAAACCCTAGATCCTAAACCCTAAACCCTAACCCTAGACCCCACACCTTGAGCCTGAACCTCGATATGCTTCGATTCAAGGCCCTGCATCGAAGACATCGGCACCCAGAAGCCCCCAGAAGCTGCGAGCCTGAATCTGCAAAGCCCATATGGGAGTTTCCGAAAATGTGGGGGGCCTTATTTTGGGGTCCTTATAATAAGGATCCTACTATTTAGGGCACTATATTAGGGTCCCCTATTTTCGGAAACCCCCATATGTCATACAGAGAAGACCACGAGGCCACACTCCTTGCTGACGTGCATGGCGGCGATGAGCAAATAGGCGCAGCTCTGGTGGCAGAATCCCCGTCGGAACTCAAGAATAACAATGATAATCGTAGTAGTAAGAATAACAACAGTAGGAATGTCATTATTTCAATAATAATAGTAGTAGTAACAATATTAAGAATCAAAACAGGAATGGTAATAGTAATAATTCTTACCAGTCATAGTGATAGAATCGCAATCTCTAGCCTTGGCATTTCTGGCTCCACCAAGAAGAAGCTTGTTTGCGGCAGTTCTGGCAACTCAGTTTTCGAGGCTTAAGAATCCGGCGGGTGTACCTTTCTGCTGGGTTTGGTTTGGGGCTTACTGTTTAGTGTTTGTGGGTACTTAAGCTTCGGGCTTCGGGGTTGGGGGGTTTGGCTTTAAGGGTTGTAGGGGCCGCGACCTCAATCTGTGATAAGCAAACATACCATACACAGTAAACCCTCCACTGTACACCCTGGTTAGGCCCTGAAACGCTAGCCCTACACCCTACATGTAAACCGTAAACCCTGCCTTAACCCCAAACAACCGACCTTTTCCCTGCAAAAACTCAAATCCTAAGCCCACAAAAATTCTAGACCGGCTACAGCCCGATGCAGGCACAGAGGATCTCCAAGCAGACAAGAGCTCAGTTTTGAAGGGGTTGTAGCGGTTTGAATCTGGGGATTTATGCGTTTAGGTATTTCTTGAAGTTGGATGTTTTCGGTATTTGGCTTGGCTTTCTGATTATCGATTTTGTCGTTGGGTCCGGAGGGATTTACCTGAACCTTGCACAGCTAGTATTTCCACCTGGCTGTTTACTGTTATGTTTTCCTTGTGTAAATCCCCTATCTGCGGTTAGGTCTCTGGGGATTCAGGTAGGGTGTAGCTTTCAGATTAAGCAGGATGAGTATTGAGTTGGACTGTCGGTTGCTTCAGGGCTCAATTCGTGGATTCCCGTCCCGGGGTAAGATCCTCCCAGCTGGCTCTGTCCAGTGCTGTTCTTTGCGTCTACCTCAGCATCCCATGTTATAAGCCCTGCACCGTAAAGCCTCTGAGGCCGAATTCCCTAAAGTTCTATCCATTCTATAAAACTTCCTTAAGAGTCCACGTGCCCAAATAGTATAATCCACTTTTGCCGTAAAGTAGTCGTTTAATCGGTACTTTGCGGCCGCAGTGGATCTTTTCTGGGCACATGGACCTGCAAACCCTAGACCACAATCCCTGAAGGCACCCTCATGGAACCCTTAAATAGGGAACTACTTAAAGGAACACGACGGGCACATGGACCCCTAAGGCTTCAGAGCCTCAGGGAATGCCCAGCCGAACCCGAAGTCGCAGCATGCGGAGCAGCACGAAGCGAAGTTGACCCTGAACTGTAGCGTTTCGGTGGATAGCAGGTCTTATGCAGAGGAGTCCTATAGTCAAACGCGAAGGTAGGGTAAGCAAAAAGCAAGAGCGATGGATGGATGGATGGATAGATAGGTAGATAGATAGATAAATACTGAGTAGACAGGCGGGTAGGTAGGTAGGTAGGTAGGTAGGTAGGTAGGTAGGTAGGTAGGTTGACAGATAGATAGATAGACAAATAGATAAAGAGACAGACAGATAAAGAGACAGACCGATACAACATGGAACGATCGATTGATTGAATATAGGTTCGTGGAAACATAGAAACATAGGTATAGAGCGAGCGAGCGAGCGAACGAGAGAGAGAGAGAGAGAGATAGACAGAGACTGCGAGAGGGAGCATGCTGTTTTGGGTTCCCCCCGGGCGCGGTTTAGGGTCTCAGCTTCTTGCTGTTGTCAGTGTCATGGAGTCATACTCCGTGTTCTTTTTGCATTGGCATTGGCAGGGGCGAAATCCGAAACCTAAGCCTTACACCCCCGACCAGACCCTTTCCACCAGTCTCCGAAGCATTCTTGCGGAGAAGTTTCTCTGAGGTACCGACACCAATGAAGAGCGAGATTCTGGCCACCGCCAAGGCGACATTTTCAATGCTTCAGGATATCCCCAAACACGGTTCAATACTTCCTGGGTCGGAAGTGATTTGGGCCTCAGATGTTGTGGAGCCTAGTGGGTGATATAGGGCTCGAAATACCTACTTAATTAGTGGTACTATCCCCTTGTTTCGTGTAGATTTGCTACGGTATGGTTGCGGACTCTTTCCTACTTGCTAAGCCCTAAACCCTAAACCCTAAACCCCTAAACCCTAAACCCTAAACCCTAAACCCTAAACCCTAAACCCCCCCTTCAGACCTTCAGTGTTCGGTGTTGGGGCTTGCGAATGAGGGTGTCGGGGTTTACCCTAAGCCAGAAGCCCAGACAAGCTTAATGTCTATGTCCGTCTTGATTTCATTTGGGGCTTTGGGTTTAGGCTAGGGTTGCGGAGGCTGCTTCGGGTTCCATGTTGCCCTAGACTCCACTCGGAAGCTTGAGCCCTATGCTTCATTTCGATCATGTGGGAGTTGGAAGAAGCGCCCAGGGTCAGGGCCCCGTCTGATCAAGGTGCTAAGCCTAAGTCTTGAAGTTACTATGCGGATCTGTAGTATCTACTACCACAATAGGGATCTGTAGTATCTAATAGTTACCACAACAGGCATCTGTAGTATCTATAATACTTACCATCATAGGGATCTGTAATACCTAATAGGGTTGCCTTAATAATGATGGTAGCCTCAACCCCAAACATCCTCCAGCAACAGCCCAGAGCTCAGGCACCCGTGAAAAAAGAGCCGAATGTCTCGGCTGCTGCAGCTCCGACTCCCCAGCCGCCTGTGAAGAAGGTGGGGATTTACTATAACATAGGGGCTTATCTGTACTATTTTGGGTTGTTCCTGATTTTAATTATAGTATAATCTACCCCAAACCCGAGTTTTGCCACTATAATTTCCCTACAATCTGAGCCCTAAACCCTAAACCTTAAAAACTATTCACAGTGTCCATTTATCGCACCATGTATACCACCACCAAGGGACTTGGTCTTGAAAAGACCATCCTCACTATGTTTTCGGGACCTATAGCCCGCAATAGGGGTGTTTCAGATATCTAGGGGCGCCTTATTTGGGGGCTCAGCCTCCTCCATTGCTTCCTTCTCCTTCAACCCTTTAGCACGTAACCCCCTAGTCTCTCCAGTGAAGATACTATGATGTCCGTATCTGCATCATATCTGCTTTGTTTCGTCAGATTGCCACCGAGTGTTCGAAGAAGAGTCATAAGTGTAAACTGAGGTTATCCGACGTCTGGCTCTACTTAAGACCTACTTGCCAAGTCTCATCAGTTTCTACTTACAGTCCCTGCAAAAGTTCCGTACAATGTAACGTAATACATATTATGCATTTCTTCGTCGTCAGGCTGGTTTACTGCTTCGAAAACGTACATTTAACGCTAAGCCTTGAACCCCATAAACCTTCTGACGCTAAATGACTTCAGATCATCCATGAAAGTATGCAAAACACGAATCCCTCCCAAGAGACGGTTTTGACGTATTTACAATGGAAAAGAGGCCGAGGTAGGTCATGGGTGTGTGTGTGTGTATCCATATATATATATA